CCGCGCAACCGGCGGAATGCTTTGAGCGGATCCGATACCTATTAAGATCGTAGAAAACGGATCTGCCTCGAAGTTGCCTAGTCAGGAGCGATCCTTCCCGTCGATTCGCCACGCATTTTTAGCGCCAGCGATACAAAACGCTCCGAGTTAGTCGCGCCGCATACCGAGCTACGCGCTCCCGATACATCGGAATTACATCACTGTTGGCCGCGGATTAAAATCCGTACGTTCGGGACGCGAGAAGAAAAGCGTCAACTCTCTCGGAAATCGTCGAGCGAGCCTCTGGGAACAATCGTGGGACGCGTCGCGATAGAGATGAAAAACGAGAGGCGTTGAGAGAGAACATATGAGAGATTCTCGATTCGATTGGTTCCCATTCGTAATCTGTTTCGAGCGAGTCTGCCGCTTTAAACCGATAGAGAAGGAATAGCGAGAGAACGTGAGAGAGGAGCAGAGGAAAACGCGGCGAACGATCATCGGTACGCACGCGTGTACTTTGTGGTCACCCGTGGGGCTCTCCCCATTCAACCGGTGGCTCGACTCGCCCACTCGTTCGTTCATTCATACGCGGGGAACGCGATTTGAATCGATAAGCAAAACTCGGAAGCGTGTCTTCCCGCTGCCTCCTGCGCTTGGATCCCGCTCTTGATTCTCGACGAAGCGGCGAGAATCACCTCCGCCCTTCTCGTCGCGTCGCGAAAACAAATGTTCGCGTCACAAATTCAAGCGAAAGATGTAAAAATTCCCAACTAATATAATGTTAATAAAAACAATCAGCGATAATGTTAATAAAAAATATCATCCACGCTCGCGTTCAAAGAACGCAAGCAGGAATACGCCGAAAGTATTGCCTGAATTCTTTTTCTTCGACTAAATCTAAATATTTTCACGATCGAATGCCTAAATCTAAATTCGTTTCCATTCGCGCAAAATGGAGAAAGCGCCGATCCGTCGTAAGGGTATAATCCCATTAGGCTTTAATCGATGATCCCCTCCACCGTGCAACGTAGCGTTAGGGTCGGCCGAGGGATAAGGTTGCGGCGTGAAAATAGATACGCAAGCTACCGCGGAGATACGGCGTTTTATTGGCGTCACGGGGTCCCAGATCTCACGATCGGTCAAATGAAGACAGAGCGTTGGCGCGTTCCGCTCTGGCTTGACGGTGTTAAAATCACCTGTCAGGCTGTCAGAGAGCGGATTCCTGTTTACAAATACATTTACTCTTCAGAACTCTCTTTTTTATACATTTATGTGTTTTTTTTTTTTTTTCATACGTCCCAATAAATGTCTAAACTTGAAGCTACGATAATCGATTACGTGCGATCTCGAAAGATGATTTCTGCTTGCGCTGCCGCGATTATTGACTTTATTTTTCTTCCTCGCGATCATTCGTGCAAATAATATAATCTTTTTGATAAAAAGAGAAAAAGTTTATTAATTCTCTTCAGCGTTTCTGCAAAGCGCGTCACGTTGGCGAGAAAGGCACGCGCGCAGCAAAGATCACCGGCTGGTGGGGATGACGTTTTGGGGATGATGGGGGTGGAACCCTCGAAGGGAGCAAGCACGAGGGCCAACACGCGCCGATGACACTTACGCACACGTTCTCAAGACCGGCCGTCACGCGGATGTTCCTACGACACTTTTCCTCTACATTCGTTTTCATGCCGGAGTTATTTTACAAATTACATCACGAAAAATTACAAGAACATTTTTTAATTTGTGTCGAAAGAATTTACAACGCTTATCGCGATTTTTGTGACCGCTAACGTGTTGTGTTATGTATTACAGAAACTGCATTGTGTTTGAAAGAAGTTCATACATCTAACGATTTACAAACTCTTTAACGATATGAACGATTGATGTTTAGAGATTTAAGAACCGAGTGCGCGACGATCGCGAAAGATGATTCATGGCGGGGCGAAAGCAACGCAGACGTAAGCCCGTGACGTAAAAATCGCCCGACGAATTACGCCCGGCGAGACTTTCCTGCTAGGACTCGTGGAAAAGCCTCAGGAATCCGCTCGTAGATGCGAGATGTGGCAATCGGCGAACCACATATGCGCGACCACGTATAACCACCCCGCGTTTATGCAGCTGCGAATGAACAGTAACGAATTTCACTCGTGGTTTCATTCTAGGAAACCGTCCATGGACGACGTCGGAAATCCTACCTCCGTCAACGCACGGTGAGTACTCTCTCAGTCCCGATTCGCGTTCCACGAGATCATCTCGCACGTCTCTCTCTTTTACCTTGGGTAGTGTCTTAAGAACGAGGACGAGTGTGATTCGCGAGATATTACGTGTCGTCCTTTGAACTCGAGTTATTATTTTGCATCTCTAATACGAATGATAAATTTTATAGTTAAAATGTTTCGAGTGCATCCATGTCCAGATTAATTTATTTAGCGAGCTTTGGAGGCGTCTCACGTAGAAAAGGAATTACGAACGCGACGAGGATCTTCTCGTCGGGCCTGTAACGTTCTTTCGGCACTACGGATTACATTTTGACGATGTTACAAGCGCTCGTAATGTTCGTTAATACCGACATCTTCTTACGTTCGAGTGTCCAAAGTGGAGCGATTTTCGTAGGTAAAACCTTCCCGGCTAAATCT